ATTAATAATAAAAAATGATCGAACTAGAGACTTATTTCAATATTGTGAAGAAAAATATCTCTAAATTAAATCTAGTTTAACAAACTATGTGATTGCATAAGTCCTCCTCTCTCCATTGCGGGTGGAGGACTTCAATTTTCAAACTCCAATTCATGATCATTGTGTGGATGCAAATTTCTGTCATCTCTTCCTTTGACGAAAATGTACCTACAAAATAATAACACATTCGATTAAGGCCAAAAGCCTCACGCGCCCATGATGAATTGGGGGGCTTTGGCCGAAGAATCTCCGATGCCAAAATTAGAATTATGAAAAGAATGTGTTTAGGAGTTTGTGAATAGCAAATAGCTTAGCATTTTAGTGGGATAAGATGAGTATTTATAGGATAGTGGCCGGGCATTTGGGTGGAGAGTGGTTGGCCATATATGGTGTAATTGGGTGAATAATTGCAAGATATTATGTGAAATAATATCTTGCAATTAAGATGACAATTATTCCTAAATTAAATAGGAAGTTTTCGGAGTTACCTTTTGAATAAGGATTTGATGAGAAGTGATGAGAGAGATTTAAATAAATACCATATTGACCACATTTGACTCTTACTTGATTGAGTCATTATTGTCTGTTGCATGCACATGGGAATTCCGATGTGTCTCGAGGGTAATCTTGTCCTTCTTGTCCAAAAATCCACATGTCATCTCCATGATTTTTGGGATTATTTTTGGCTCCACACAATGTTTTTTAGGTTATTTAGCCAAAGGTCAATAGAATCTTTACAAATTAGGCATATATCAATGTCAAATTTTTTTTTTGGACATAATTAATGAAATATTTACAGTAATTATATATAGGTCAATGAAGCATACCACATGAGTTTAGATTAGTTAGAAAATAACTATTCTACCCTTATCACTTCAATTTATTGCTTTCCTTCTCTCCTTCCCTCTCCCTTGTCATTATCTACTTCTTTCTCTTATCTCTTTCTCTCTCTCATCCTTCTCTCATCCCTTCTCTCCCATTTTTCTCTCTAATGAAGAAGAGGTCATTGGTGATGGTGAGTAGCACCAAATCCCAATGGCTTAGTCGATCAGTGACTACAACATCACAATTGACATGATTCCTTCTAGAACCATCACTGATCTCCACGAGATCATGAAGCCAATGGTGCCGGCAGTGTTCATGAAGGAGTGGTCCCACATCAACTGTAGAAGAGAGTTTCTAGAAGAAAGCTTGTTTGGGTTAGAGTTGCAGAAGTTGAACATGAGTATCGATGAGGTTTGGAAGGCGCTCGAGGATGAAATTGGGCAGTGGATCAAATCTGTGAAATGTGTGCTTTGGATTTTAGGCTCTTTTTGCTATTTGAATTTGCGCTGGAATGGTGGAAGATAATGCTTGCATATCTTGAAAACTTGAAGACAATCCATAAGAAAAAGAAGTACAAAAATAGACATTGCATTGCAAAGTCTGAATCTAAATGTAAAAGCAAAACCAGAAACAGACACCGAATTACATAGTCTGAATCCAAATGTAAAAGCAGAATTAGAAACGGAGTTTGCAATGTAGAGTCTATATTCAAATGTAGAAGATAAACCAGAAACGGACGCAATGCAACGCCTGAATGCAGAGTCGTGCGAAGTGTGAATTGTATGATATTTGTGAATGATGTGTGTGGTTGATCTGATTCAAAATAAAAGAATTTGTACGCTGACAGTTGTAGTAGGGTGAATTATTATGTTAAGGGTAAATTACATTTTACCCCCTCGGGGTTTGGGTTCAATTGCAACCGCATACAACATCTTTAAAACATTTCAATTTCATACACAAACTTTTATTTTGTTGCAATTTCATACATCCGTTAATTAAACTGTTAATTTGACCGTTAAATGGTGGCAAATGCATGACCCACATATTTAATGACATGGCATAAAAATTAATTGATTATCAAAAAGCAATTTAAACAAAAAATTAAATTAAACAAAAAAAAGGGGGGGGCCACCCCTCTTCTCCCACCCGAGACCTCCATCTCCATCTTCTTCCTTCTCCACCTGAGACCTGCATCACCATCTCCTTCTTTCTCCACCACCACCACCACCCGTCACATACAACCACCATGTCAATCCTCACCCTCCCAATCCCTAAACCCCATTCCTAATTTTTTTCAAATTTGTTCCGAGTCTTCTTATATTTTCTCTCAGTTTTCGCTCTTAATCCGAAAATAAAGCCTAGAAAATTTCCTAGATCCGAAGATGAGTTTGTGTCTGAATTAGCTTCCCTTTTCGACTGGGTCATGAGGAAGGGTCGAGATCGAGAGCTCTCTGTGCTCATGCCTTTAATCTTAGGTGCAGCCACTCCGCCGCAACACCCGACTTGAAACCCAGATAGAGAAAACCCGATAAGACGAACCCAGCGGGAAGGAATCATCCTCACCAACGCGTGTCAGTGAACGAAGGATATTCGGACCTGGACTCGCTGCTGTGGGGGCTGGGTGGCAAGGACGGTCAGCCGCCGGTGACGAAGGCGTCAATCGACGCCATGCCGTGTGTCAAGATTTGGGAATCAGAAATTTGATGATTTGGTTGTGTAAATTGTTTTGTTGATGATCTGGAACTATTAAGAATTGGGAGAGGGAAATTTAAAGGGGGAGGGATTGACATGGTTGTCTGGGATAGGTGGTCGGGGTGGAGAAAGAAGAAGATGGAGATGGAGGTCTTGGGGAGAAGAAGGGTGGGCCCCTTTTTTGTTTAATTTAATTTTTTTTTAAATTGCTTTTTGATAATTAATTCTTTTTTATATGTCACGTCCTCAAATATGTGGGTCATGCATTTGTCACGTCACCATATAACGGTTAAATTAACGGTTTAACTAACGGATGCATAAAATTGCAACAAAATAAAAGTTTGTCTATGAGATTGAAATATTTTAAAGATGTTGTATGAGGTTATAATTGCACCCAAACCCGAAGGAGTAAAATGTAATTTACTCTTATGTTAATAATGCTTGAATTGACTGGTCACTTTTACTGAAAATGAGTGTCGTCTTATGTTTTATCTATTTGGACAACTTCGGTACCACTTAGGCCATCTCCAACCGATGGCTGGCCAGAGGGCTCGTTTTAGCCCTTTCGCCCCCCAAGATCCTCCAAGATATTAATATTTTAATGAACAGTACATGGTCATATTTGCTTCCATCTCCAACCGAGGGCCAGAGGCCTCGTCTTAGCCCTGTCACAAAAAACTGTCTCCAACGGAAGGCCAAAGGGCCAAACATAATTTATTATTTAAAAACTACAACTTAAATTCAAATCCAACAGCTAAGTAATGTCAGCTAGCCGTTGGTAGCTGACGTCAGCTAGCCGTTGGATTTGAATATTTTTTTGCTATAAATAGGGTGGATATTGGGATATAATTCTCACAACTTTGAATTCAATCTATTTCCATTTAATCTCTTTCAATTCAATCTATTGAAGAAGCATGGAGTAGGCATTTATGTTTTATGTTTTTAAATGTTTTTAAAAATGTTGTTAAAGTTTCCTGTTGTATAATTTTTATGTTGGTTAATGTTATTTAATGTTGTTTCATATTGTTTCATGTTACTTAATTTAATTTAATGTTGTATAATGGCTTAGGAAGTTATAGGAAAAAAAATAGAATTTAAAAAAAAATATGAAACAAATTTTGTGAAATAGAAGTTATAGGAAAAAAATGGAATTTCAAAAAAATATGAAACAAATTTTATAAAATAGAAGTTATACGAAAAAAAATATGAACCAAATTTTGTAAAATATAAGTTATAGAAAAAAAGTTATAGGAAGTTATAGGAAAAAAATATGAAACAAATTTTGTGAAATAGAAGTTATAGGAAAAAAATGGAATTTCAAAAAAATATGAAACAAATTTTATAAAATAGAAGTTATACGAAAAAAAATATGAACCAAATTTTGTAAAATATAAGTTATAGAAAAAAAGTTATAGGAAGTTATAGAAAAAAAAAGTTTAAATTCATAAAAACAAAAAAAAAAATTGAATACAACGGCTAGTGACTGGCTAGCTGTTGGAATTCAAATTAGAATTAGTGACGGTTTTAACCCACACTGTTCAAACTGCTATTATATTAACATTGCTATTAGTGTCGGTTATAACCGACACTAATAATATAGTATATATTATTTTTGTCGGCTATAACCGACAGAAATAACAAAACATTAAAAAAAAAATGACCAGCCCCGGGCTGGCTGGCTAGCTGCATGCAGCCATGCAGCTAGCCAGCCCTCCAGCCCTTTCCGATTCCGTGGGGTCCTCTCAGATTCCAGAGCCCTTTGGCCTAACTCTCGATTGGAAACGGTTTTCGGATTATTTTTGGCCCTATAATCCTCTGGACCATTCGGTTGGAGATGACCTTGGTATAAAAGAAAACAATCACTCATTTGTGATGTGAAGTGATTTGCAAGACCATGGGACCGCATGCACCCAACAGCATTCTAGTTTCTTCTCGGTGTTCTCACTCTCGTGTCGCTCTCGTTCTCTCGTGTAAACGTGTTCATGCACGCACACAAGGACATAAGAGTACGAGTATGCGACAGGGACCTCCATGACAAACCACGATCGTCGACTAAACACCCTTTTGCCACCGTTATTTCGTTGCCTTTTGTTCTCAAAGATCAAATCAAAACCACAATGGCACGTACAATGAACCCCATTCAAAGTCGAAGCACTGTCTTTGTGGTGGACGAAAGTTCATAAATAGTTGACCATGTTCTAAATATTCCTAGATATTTAACACGGATAATGTAAGCCTATACTCGTATTGGAAAATATAAAATGCACTTATGCTTAAATTGATTTATTATATAATATATAAATACCTCTTCCATGCATATGGCATTTTATAATTTCTATGACATCAATATGATAAGTTTGATTACATTGCATTTGGTTTGAGCTACGCGATGAAAAGTTTGGATGAACGGGAAACCGGTAAACAATCCCTCCCGGGCATCAAGAAAGGTAAAAGTTGAGTTCATTTGACGATCAGATTCAACTGAGATATATACAAAAAGAAAAGTACAATGTTCAACATTACAATAGTTCATCATCAATCAAATTCTAATACAAAGTTATGCAGGGCTAGCTCTTTACATCAATTATTTTCTCATTGACCACGCACGACCTATATACACGACCTATATACATCAATCAAATTCTAAACAAAAAGCATTAAGAAGTTACACAGAAGGCACCTGATCTTACTACGCACGACCTATATACAGGGGAAGAAGTTGGACCCCAGGCAAGTACAGGCAAGACTAGAAGTTACCGATAGCAACCAGTATAATGTCACCAAGACAGCATGGTGATTGCAAAACACAGCACTATCAATACATCTGTATAGAACTACAGAAGCCTACTTCTGCAAGTCAATTCTGTTCTAACAAGCATGCATTGCAAGACCTAGACGGTACCCAACGCGAGGAATTGTAGATAATCCTGCCCTTCCATCCTTGTAGCATCCAGTTTCCATCTTCATCAACCACGAAATCACGGTGGTACCCCAGCTTCACGTTCGCCCTTAATTTGTTCATGAGTTCACGGTTCAATGGCAACTGTTTGAACCCGGCCCTCATGTTCCGAACCTGCCACTGCTTATATGTCTCAGGCCTCACAACTCTCTCAGAGCCCTCGCAAGCTATTGTGTTCACAACCTCTCGTCCAAGGAATTCTTCCTCAAACATCAATCTCATCGGATCTTCACGAGATAAATTGGTATCAAACATATCAAACAATGCAGAGAAGTGGGATAGAGCCTCCCTGAAGGGTGTGACGTAGAATGGGGCATTGTAAGATCCATTAATGACACTATGGATAAAGATATCAGGATTCATGCTCCTAATGAAATTTAGAACAGCATCCCTTGGGCTGTTTACCACAACTGTCTCGTCAAGTAGGTTTTTAAACCGGAACAGACAATTCACAGCAAGCACTTCATCTCTCTTGACATTGAGTTCCTCATATTGGATAGCTTCCCATTTCTTTGCGATGCCATTGTACTCGAAAGGAACATTATACCACTCACAATACTTTGCCAAACGGTGGCCTGTCTCTTGGACTCGAAAGGAATATTACAAAGATGAAGTATTGAGGTAGTTCAGCTACAAAGCCGACTAGTATATTAGAGTGCAACATGGTATATTAGAGTACAACATGGATAACCAGAATACTCAAATACGAAATGAAATAGTACCTCTGCCTAGTTTGTTGATCATCCTTTCTATCACAATTCTCAAAGAAGTTCAAACAAGCATATTCTACAAGATTCCTACGCTGGCACCCAACAAGAAGAAGCATACACAATTCGGCCCTTCCATCCTTGAAGCATCCAATCACTATCTTGATCAACTACAAAATCTTTGTGGTACCATGCCTTCACCTTATCCTTAAGAATCTTCACTAAATCTTGGTCCAATTGCAACGGCTGTAAACCAGCCCTCATGCATCGAACCTGCCACTGCTTATATGTCTCAGGCCTCTCAACCCGCTCTACGCCCTCACATGCTATTACATTCATAGCTTCCCTGCCATAGAACTCACTCTCAAACCTCAACCTCTCTTCATTGTCACGGGGTATATTAATATCAAATGCATCATACAAGGAAGAGTAGTGGAAGAGAGCCTCCCGAAATCGAGTGACAAAGAAAGGGGCATTGTAGGAACCATTGATAATAGAGTGGACAAAAATATCTGGTTTCATCCTTCTGATTAGTTGTAGAACACCATCCCTTGGACAGTTCACTTCAACGGTCTCATCAAGTAGGTTCTTGAACCGTAACATACAGTTCACAGCAAGCACCTCATTCCTTTCAGTCTTAAGGTCCTCCAGTTGGATGGATTCCCAATCTTGTGAAGCTATAGCATTGTACTCAAAAGGTACATTAAAACGCTCACAATATCTTGCCAAGCGACGTCCAGTCTCTTCAATCCACTCTGCTGGACGAAACCCAGGTTGGGGAACCTCTATCCCGGTAATGCGTAGCTTCGGAGGTCCACCACGTCTCTTTGAAAGATGCTGGATGAGGAATGGCCACTGGAAACCATACAGGATACCAAAATCGACAATATGAAGGGTTGTTGCTTTCTCAGCCATCTTCAAAATCATCTTGTTTTTGAAGAGCATACACATTCTCTTGAAAGGGCAAGCTGAAAGATGAACGTGGTAAGATTTCAACACATCAACGGCTGATGACCTTTTGGCAAGGGACGTATAAAACTTTTGGGTTCCGGTGTCAGTACCACCCATACGAGCCTCAAGACCATTCGCAAAGAAGTGAGCCAACCTTTGAGATCCATCACCGTTAGGAGAAGCGTGCTGCCTAACCTGCTTTAACAGTTCACTAGTGGTCCTAAAATCATTGGTAGACACGGCTTGTGCACACAAAATCAGGAGATTCTGCAAATCCACAGTTTCCTTCTTCTTTCCTTGTTTCTTACCACGAGCCTTCCCGCCATTACCATTAGATCCTTGTGGCTGTCCAGGCTGCAAGGTCTTGCTTGCTTCATTCTTAAAAGCAACATTGCCACACTGAGATTCATTATTTCCGCCAGTAGACAGCAACACCTTGTCAAACATCTCAGACAATTCACTCTCTTCAGTCTTTTCTATATAAACTGCAGACTGCTTGCTACTCCTCCCTTCTTCAAGATCAACATCTTCCCGCTCGCGATTCTTTCTTCCCTTTGACCCATTAGGTGAGTTCTTCCGCTCACTCTTTTCTTTCTTGACAGTAACCATCGGCACACTTGCTTTCACTTCTGGAGACACTGTGTTGCTTTCCAGATCAACAAGCAGCTGAGTGCTTTTCGGAAGGAATTTACTAGCTTCCTCTAACCCTCTCTGGAATTGCAAGATAGAATCACTATCTGTATATATATTCTGAGCCACAAACTCTTCTACAGAGGAGCCCTGTAGCATATCATCAAGGCGCTGCCCACCACCAACATGCCGCCTATCACCAACACTAGTCATGCGATTTTCCAGAGGAACAGACAACTGTGAACTCGAATGTGAATTGAACTGGAAAGGGTTGTCACTGGGAAGGGTAGTTTGTGGAAAAGAAGATTTTGGATCTCCCGAATCGCCAACCCGTTGAGGATCATTGGAATTGCTAGTACCAGGACTAGGACTATTATTACTACCACTACAATCACTACAACTCCCAGAATTATTACCACCAGGACTCTCAACATTCGGATTGATATGAAGTGGTTGCTGATTGGGTGAAAAGGGGTACCGTTGACCAAGAACATCATAGAACGATTTCTCAGTCACACGAAGACCCAACGGATCAAAGAACATGCAAGGCTTTTTCTCTATGTTCTCTTCCAAAAGAATCTGGTTTACGTATTTGAAAATAGCTTCAGAAAAATCACTGTCATCGGAGGAACTGTCTGCTCCTCCGACGCTCACAGTCGTAGGCAGAGACAATGAGCCTCCATCAGGTGGACTCAAACTTTTAGATGGAACAAATGACTCTCCACTTGTGGTCAAACTGACTTTAGGAACAATATTACCCTGTTCGAAATCGGGCGGAAGGGAAAAATGATTGTCCACAAAGTTAAGATCCGGAGAGAACTGGTTAAATTGGTATTCATTTGTGAGATTTGAGAATTGAGTTGAATCAGGTGAGAAGGCTAGATCATCAATACTGAAACCATTCAAGTAATCAGGACTTCCATTGACAGTTGGATGATCCATAACGATCACAGAAAAATACCTGGGTACAATTCTAAACTCTAAAACCCTCTAAAACTTAAGATTCTACCCACAAAAGTGATGAAATTTAAAGATTTAATCTCACAGGAACCCCATCAAGGAACAAAGCAGGCTAGCAAGAACAAATCAGAAGCAAAAATGAAAAACCTCAAAAACCCATCAGAGTTTTTGCAGATTTATTGCACAGGAAGCAAAGGTTTTGAAGCGGAAGGCTCTAAGAACAAGCAAAGATCGAACCTTTACTGAATCGGATGACAGAAAACAACATGAACAGAAAAGTACTGGCGTACCTTGAAGAAAAACGTTGAGACTCGAAAACAAAAGGCGGCGATCTCAGGTTCGGGGAACCAAACTAACAGCACCGGTGAGGTTTTCTGATATTTATAAGCGGGTGGGGCCGAGCGGCGTCACGTACTTTCTTGGAGGAGCATAGCAAGTGTCAGTCAGAGATAGTCCTGAACTCTTTTTCCAACCGTGCTGATCGGTCCGTGAATAAGTCATGCACATGTTTGACTTTGCAACCATGGACTTGGTCCCACTCTGTGCATTGTTTTTTCTTTCGATAATCCCTGTCGTTTTCTTTTGTTCTTTCAGTGTTACAGAATATGGCAATGGGACCTGGAGAGTGGAAAATTCTTAAAATAATGTTCTTGACAGTTCATATACTATAGAACTTTGCTTGCTTTTGAATTTTGACATACCCGGATTGGATCAGTTTTAAAATTATTATCAAACTAATTATAATAAATTGATTTGGTTTAGTTTGGTTGAACTAAATTGCTGATAAAGTGCAATTAATGTGAATGACTTGGATATGTACACAATCATTTTTTAGTATGAACCGATTCCAACATAAGACGAATTTAAACTCAAAACTGACTTGAACGGGAGAAAATACACACAATCAATAAAAAATGAAATTCGTGCTTCAATATCAGCATAACAATTGTTACTTATATTGTTAAAAAATCCACATAAGATGATTGATCCATTGAAAGCTACAAAGTATGTTGAAACAAATCCATCAAAACAAAAGCCCTAAACATAAGACCAAGAACACCACTTGCTTTCATGAGGAGCTAATATCGTTGTTAACAACCGGATAGACATTGCCACTGAGGTAGAAATCACCACCAAATTCAAAAGTAGCGTCCTAAATACCGCAATACCAACCGTGTCGATTGATAACTCGAAAAATATATTTGGAAAGAGAACAGAGATGGAAGGTGAGGATTGCCCAACTTATAAGTTATAAGCTCATTCAAACGAGAAAAACTTGCATACAATATGCCTTTGCGTATCCAAAATTATGTGAATACACAACCACAATATATGATACATTTAATGATTACATATAAGATTTCTCCATCGAAATACATTGCGCTCTATTCTCTAAGCCAATGTTGATGCCCATATTTCAGTCTGCTCACACTTTCACACACATGCATAAGTCCAATTCCTTCACACATTTTTAGATGTAAATTTGCAATAGATCTTGGGTATTTTATGAGGGTTAGAGTTTGACTTTAGAACCCTTAGAAAAAAATTGAAAAATCCAATATTTTTGTGAGCTATATTTGTTTGCTTGGTTGAAACTTTGACATGGTCAAACTAGCTCAAGGCTACCGGTGATAGAAAAACCACCGGTTGCTCATAAGAAACTTGACTTGACAAACAAGCCTCTGTCTTGAAGAGCACGAATGCTTATTCCTTTTCATCTTTTTTAATTAATTTACTAATCATTTCCTTAATCCCGTTCACATTATCATGATACTGTGAATAACATTAAAAATTGATATGTCTTCTGACTGTGAGCTAATCGGGTGGAAAATAGAGGTTGATGATAACAGGAAAGGTATTGCTTTCCTTATATTTTATCAGAAGAAAACACTGATTTTGCTTCTTAATCCCTCTAATCATGGTAAAGGTCAAAACACAATATGAATCTCTCACGTGTTGCTTTGGCCTCAAGAATACAGACAGATTTTTCAATGTGTTCAGAATTTAAAGTGGTATTTAACGTGTTATTATATAAGTCATGAAATATTTGTATTAAAAATTTAAAATTTAATCTAAAAATAAAAATTCCCTCTATTAATATGATAACACGTGATGTACTACTAGTATTTCGAAACAATGACAAATTTATGCAATAATATGAGAGATTATCAAAATTCGGGGGCTTGGAAATTTTATTCAAATAAACAGGGAAAATGATCAACAAAAAGATAAAATAAATTACTAAATTGAGAAAAATGCTGGCAATCTTTGCATAAACTTTTGTATTTGGACATTTTGACTTCTTTAACTGACACTTGTTTACACAAAAAATAATAATAATAAGACCTTTAAAGTCTTTTGAAATTAAATCATTTATTTTTCATTATTAATTCATAGTCAAAATCTTGTTTTTTGTGTAATAAAATAACACATGTCATTTAAAGAAGTATAAATATCCAAATCCAAAGGTTAGTGAAAATGCCGGTATCACTTCTCGAAGGGAGCATTATTTTCTCACCTCCATAACTATGGTGTATGCTCACCATACATCTCATCATTTGATACGTGTCATTTCAACTAACTCTGATTAACTTTAATATTAAATGTTCCTTTTCCAATTTTGAAAAAAAAAAATTAACTACAGTTAAGTAAAATGACACGTATCAAATGATGTGATATATGATGAGAATACACTATAATTTAGGGTAACAAGCAAAAATACACCCCTCCCTGAAATATGTTGTCTGTTAATTGATAATTCGTTAGTAAATAAACAAACAAATACATAGCATGGTCGACAGAAAGCCTCGGAAATTATGTGCATGTCTTGATGTGGCATCACATTAAGAACTTAATATTGGTCAAGGGTCAATTTGTATTATGTTTTGTCTTTGAGCAAGTAAAAGTTCAACAACGTCAATGTAGCCACCGAGCACATAGGAAACGGCTCCAAATACAATCGGGAACTGTCAAACTCGGTTGTTCTAACTTCTAAATTTCTAATACAAATCAATGTCCGTGTAAACACATGGAACTTGGATACCCGCACGAGTCGAAAGATGACCAAAGTAGGCGTTCATAACGAACAACATGATCAACTGACCCTGCATTACTAAGAAGCGATAGAGAATAGATAATCCCTTATTTGTTAATACAAGGCTCATTAAATATAGATCCAACTCAGTCACTCTACACAAGGGGTCAAAGAGAGGCTCAAACCCGTACTCAAGCTTTGCTTGATTTTGACCCAACTTGGTTGAACTGCTTTTGTGCATCAACAAATTTAATGTTTATCTTTATTAATAAAAAATAATTGATCGAACTAGAGACTTAAGGGGGGGTGTATTCAATTGTGATTTTGAAGGATTTTCATTCTTTTAATGAATTTAGGAGTATTCAATCAGGATTTTAAGTGATTCTCTGATATTCAAGGTGTGTTCAATTATAATTTTAAGATAGTTTATTAAAATCTTTAGAAATCCGGGTGTATTCAATTAGGATTTTAAGAAAGTTTATAACATTTCAGGTGTATTCAATTAGAAATTTATGTTAAAAATTTTGAGAAAGTTAAGGAATTAGAGGGAATTAGAGAGATTTCGTAGTGTATTTTAAGCATCCACAAATCTCATCTCTTCCCATGAGATTTCGAGGGAATTGAATCAAAATTTTATATGGAATCTCTACAAAACAATTAAATTCCATAAAAATCTATAGATGTATAAATCCATTAAAATCTTTCAAATTCTCAATCCATTGGTTCATTTGTTTTGGGACCTTATGAGATGTGAAGTGATTTGGACCTCCACAGAGACTAGAGAGAGCCGACATGCAATTTGCAAGACCATGGGACCGCATGCAGCCAGCATCTTTCTAGCTTCTTCTCGGCGTTCTTTCTCTCATGTCGCTTTCGTTCTCTCGTGTGAACGTGTTGGTGTACGGCACGCACACATAAGGACATAAGGATATGAGTATGCGACAGGGACCTCCAAGACAAACCATGATCGTCGACTAAGCACCCTTTTGCCACCGTTATCTCCTTGCCCTTTGTTCTCAAATCAAAACCACAATGGCAAGTACAATGAACACCATTCAAAGCCGAAGCTTTTTTTTTTTTCTTTGTTGTTGACGATGTTGTCACTGTTCTAAATATCGTTAGATATTAAAACGCATAATGTAAGACCATATAAATTGTATTAAAAAACATAGAATGCAATGGATTTTCTACTCAAATTCATTTATCATATAACATATTAAAAAAGATTGGATGAACGGGAAAAGGGTAACCAAATCCTCCGGGGCATATTCCATAAAAGTAAAAATTGCGTTTATTTGACGATTAGATTCAACTGAGACAAATACAAAACGAAAACTACAATGTTCAACATTACAATAGTTCATCATTAATCAAATTTCTAATACGAAGTTATGCAGTGCTAGAAGTTACCGATAAGAAACCAGTACATTGTCACCCAGACAGCACGGTGATTGCAAAATACAGCACTATTTTTACATCTGTATAGAACTACAGAAGCCTATTTGTGCAAGTCAATTCAGTTCTAAACAGCATGCATTTCAAGACCTAGACGGTACCCAACAGGAGGAACTGTAGAGAATTCTGCCCTTCCATCCTTGCAGCATCCAGTTTCCATCTTCATCAACCATGAAATCACGGTGGTACCCCAGTTTCACCTTGGCCCTTAATTTGTTCATGAGTTCACGGTTCAATGGCAATTGTTTGAACCCAGCCCTCATGTTCCGAGCCTGCCACTGCTTATATGTCTCAGGCCTCACAACTCTCTCAGAGCCCTCGCAAGCTACTGTGTTTACAACCTCTCGTCCAAGGAACTCTTCCTCAAACATCAATCTCATCTGATCCTCACGAGATAAATTGGTATCAAACATATCAAACATTGCAGAGAAGTGGAATAGAGCCTCCCTGAAGCGTGTGACGAAGAATGGGGCATTGTAAGATCCATTAATGACACTATGGATAAAGATATCAGGATTCATGCTCCTAATGAAATTTAGAACAGTATCCCTTGGGCTGTTTACCACAACTGTCTCGTCAAGTAGGTTTTTAAACCGGAACAGACAATTCACAGCAAGCACTTCATCTCTCTTGACTTTGAGTTCCTCATATTGGATAGCTTCCCATTTCTTTGCTATGCCATTGTACTCGAAAGGAACATTATACCGCTCACAATACTTTGCCAAACGATGCCCTGTCTCTTGGACTCTTTCTTCAGGTCGAAAACCACTTTGGGGAAGCTCTATCCCTGTAATGCGTAGTTTTGGAGGTCCACCAGCTCTTCTTGAGAGGCAACGAATGAGAGCAGGCCATTGAAAACCGTAGAGGATTCCAAAATCTATAATATGCAGTGTTTCTGCTTTCTCAGCTAATTTTGAAATCATGTGGTTTGCGAAGATTATCGCGACCTTCATGAACGGGCAGGCTTCAAAATAAGTTTGGTAAGCCTTCAGCATATCAGCAGCTGACGTTCTTTTAGAAGATAGAGCAGTATATATCTGAGTTCCAGTGCCAGCCAACCGTGCTTCAAGGCCATTTGCAAAGCAATGAGCCAACCTCTGCGAGCTATCGCCAAATGGGGAAGAGTGATGCCTAATCTGCTTTAGTAGCTCATTAGCAGTCCTACGATCATCAGAAGAAACAGCTTGTGCACATGAAATGAGTAGAGTCCTCAAATCTATCACTTCCTTCTTGTCGCCCTTTTTCTTGGCACGAGTCTTTCCATTACTGGTTCCAACAGATTGCCCATTCTGCTGCAGAGCCTTGTTTGCTTCATCCAGACAGACTTCTTCACCTTCACTCACAATAGGCTTGGGTTTCCCCTCACCACAAACAAGCACCTTATCAAAAATCTCCGATAGATCAGCCTCCGTCTCCTCATAAACAGCTGATTGCTTGGTACTCCTCCCAACCTCCAAATCTGCATCTTCCCTCTCATGACTCTTCTTTCCTCTCGAACTAGTAGGAAAATACTCGCCTTCATCCTTCTCCGTCTTAACCACCACATTTTCAGCCTTTCCATTCGCCACTGTGTACGGCTTGTTATTCTCAACGTTAACAATCAGTTGACCTCTAGGAAGAAACTTACTAGCCTCCTCTACCCCTCTGTTAAACTGTAACACCAATTCCCTCTCCCTAAACAAATTAGAAACCATAGGCTCACTCACATAAGAACCCACCAATCCATTCCCATTCGACGAAAACTGAGACTTGGCCTTTGACTGGAAAACAAAGTTTTCCGGAATTGGGTTTTGCAAAATAGAGGGCTTATGCTCAATAACATCAACGCTACTCCGAGAATCATCCAAATGGCTAGTACTAGAACTAAGACTAGAGCTATTATTTCCACTATGATCACTAAAGGTTGCAGAAGAACGACCATCAGGGCTCTCAAAATTAAGCGGATGCTGATTCGGAGAAGGCGGAAACTTCCCACCAAGAACCTCAAAGAGAGATTTCTCAGCGGCTTGGACAGCCAAAGGGTCATGAAACATACAGGGCTTTGTCTCCATATCCTCCTCCATTAACACCTGGTTTATGTACCTGAGCACACTGTCAGAGTAGTCACTGTCATCTCCCTCGGGGCTCAAGCTCGGAGACAGAGCAGAGTTGCTAGGGTTTTGGCCCAGAAAGCTAAGATCCACAAAGGGATCGCTGCTTGGGTACTCATTGAAATTGGGGGAAAGTGTCTGGTCGATGAAATTGGAATTGGAATCGGGCAGTTGATAAGAACTTGGATCCATAGCAATCAAATTTTAAGAATATTGACGATAACCCAGTTCGAGTTTGGTGAAAATTGAGGAAATTAAGACTGAAAGATTGAAACTTTGGGATTTGAGGTGAAGAATCTGCTTACCTGAGAGAGAACAGAGAAACCTCAATCCACTACTGGGTTGAGGTGTCACCGGATAAACGAGTGGTGGAGGAGAGACGAAGGCCAAAGTGGGGAGAACGGGCGGAGGGTGTGGAAGTCAAGAAGCGGGAGACGCCACACAGCGTGGCTTCATGGCGTTTTTGTTGCAGCTCAAGCAATTGGTAAAGCTGTGGAAGCGTTAAGTTGACCAATGGTTTTTAACGTTGTGGTACCTTTTTCTCATCATTTTTTTCAATGGAAAAGAGAAGGGCCGATGATATCAAGTGGTTTTATTTTTAGGAAAATTAATGAAAAAAATTTGAAAATTTTGAGTTTTAACGATAAGGATAAAATAAAGGACAAAATAAATAGTATCATGACGGACTATTTAATATAAAAATATATTTTTTTTTTTAAATGAACAATACCAAAAGTTTTTCATTAAGGTTTTTTTTTTTTTTTTTATGGTTATGAATTAAACCCCAAAGGGTTGATGGAGTACCAAGCAAGCAAAAGTTTTGAACTCTGAACTTAAGTTTGAATTATTTGGCTAACCACTTTTACTTTGACATACCATTAATTTAACCGAATGTGGTATTGATATTGCATATAAAAAGAAATTAGACTGTCACCGACTTATATTAAATAAAATACTACTTTAAAAAAATATTAAACAAAACGAAGAAATTTTTAGTTGTTTATTTATTTATTTAAGATTTAAATTCATGATCTCCTAGTAAATGAGAGACTAAATATTTTTAGGACTTAATTACATGTATACCCCGCTTCATGCCAAGAAGGCCCTTGTCACTATTATATCAGATCGAAACCTCCGATTGAAGGTTTAAACAAGCTAAACTTTGATAGCTCCATCATTCGACATAATCATATTGCGTCCAGTTACAATTTCAGTTTAAACCTCTTGTGTTGAACGATCATAAGTTTTATAGTACGTGATTTTTGGATACACAGATTTACTTTTAATAGAAATATTAGCTCTTTGAGTCTATCCATTTTAAACCAACAGTATATTAGTAGATCTAGAAAACTGCAGGCCAAAGTTTAATCGTGCCAAAGGTTTATACAAGGAAGTTTTAACAAAAAGTCAGCAGTACTGTTAACTTTATCGAAAAACTATATTTTTACACTAAAAAGTCAAACTTAATACTATTCATTTTACCTTTTATTTTGTCCTTATTATTAAAACTCAAAATTTTTAAGTCATTTTCATTAGTTTTCCTTTTATATAAAGTGTATATTAAATGTGATTGTTAAGGTTTGATTTGACTCCCTATGTGTAGAAATCTCATCCTCTAGAAAATGAAAATGTTGATTCGGAACATCTTGCACATTGTTAGAAGTTTATTAGTCCATCCATTTTAAACATATCCACCGTGAAACCAACTTCATAGCAGACACCTCATGTGTTCGTAAATTCAATGTTTTCGTGTGCATCTAACACTCTTATTTTTAATCGGTTTACATAAAAAGAATTTTACATACTTATATAAAGTAGTAACACCAGATCAGCATGTCATGTAATGGTACGACATACACAATACTTTTTCCAGATACCATAATCTCTAGTGGAGACCTCTTGCCCCTGTTGTGATCATATCACATGATCAGTTTTTTTTTTTTTTTTTCTCTATATCTCCTAGATTTTGCTTGCCATGTATGTGCTAATATGTGTCGAAAATTGAGCGAATCACATCAGATATTCTTTATCCGATCATCCAACAAAACGATGGATTGTATGTTACTAAGCTTCATTTAAATAGTAATTTTAACCTAAAATTAATTGTGGGTCGGTCCAAGGCAATGGATTTAAAAAGAAACAATGACGATAAGGATAAATTTGATACTTGTGTGGTCTGAGGTTTGATTGCATGCGCGTTGAGCTATATCGTCTGTCAAAACAAACAAACAATATAATTAAAATATGAAATGTTTGAGTATCAACTGTGACTTTTTCCAACTAGTTAAACTACCACGAATTAACCCTATAATGCGTGTGTATAATTGGTGATCAAGAATTAGTTTAGCTTATCTTAATGGATCGAGTTTTATCTTTTGTACCATAATTTTCTGTTTAATATTTGACTTGGGATTCAATAATATAACTCGTACAAAAGTTTTATTGTTTCAGACTCAGTGAATAATTATTAGAAATGTTCCAGTGGTCACCTAGGAATTAATCATGGAATATCAAACGTTAAGACTGATGGGTTTCATTTTTAATGTTTTAATGTCCACTCATGATACCAAATTTGACGGTGAAAGATGATCATAAATATTTAACTACTACCAAATTTGACAGTGAAAGATCATAAATATTTAATCACTAGATGACCGTATAAACAAGACAAATAAATATACAGATATTTCTTAACTTACCAGTCAAGCGTTCTTGGTTAGTATTTGTATATTCAAGGTTCAAACTTTGAAGCCTGCTTGGATTCAAACTTAGAACGTACAAGTACATTGAGATGGAGATAGTCAATCAGTGGAGAATCTTGAAGTAACTTCGTCCCATGTGTAGTGTGCACCAGAAACAGAAGGATATTGTAAACAAAAAAGCAACCAAAGATCTCAAAGCTGTCGTATGATTTTACTAGGGAGGCTTGGTTGGCAAGTCATGTATATATAAGATCAACGTGCATGCATCATCAGTATCATCTCATGGTGGGTTAGGTTTGCATGTGTGAGAGTTGATCACAAGCCCCTTATTTCCCTTTTCTCAAAATTGAAATGAGAAAAAAATGATATGCATGCATGCATACTGGTTTGGAGAGGTGACAATCTCCGACACGCACGATGCTTCACGAATTACAAAAAAAGGCATTTTTATATAAATTCATTACATGCCCAAAATGTCGGAAATAGTTTGAGTCAATTTCTCTTTGGGGTTTAGGGTTCAAGGTCCATTTGCCTTTGATTTACGTCCTAATGTTGTATTCCCAATTAAAAGCATTGAGTTTTTTTCAATTAAGGTTTTATTTTTCTGTAATGTTTTCTGAGGGCTATGTGCTCACGGGTTTGGTTTGTGTCGACACAAACAAAATTAGAGTCCATCTAAATACAACACGATTATTATTTGATTTTTTAGTCAAATGGTCATTGAGATTGGTATAATTCTTCATTTTGGTTTCAGAGATTTGAAATCAATAGAAATGGTCCATGAGTTTGTTTACCATCAATCATTTTTCCTTGCGTTAAAAATTATGTTAAATAAGAATCAAAATGATAAAAATACCCCTCATTAATAAACAATGGGCCAAAATGATTGACAAAAGTTCAAGGTATTCATGAACTGACCAAAATGATTGACGGTGGACAAACGTAAAGACCACTTCTATTAATTTCAAATCTCAGGGACTAAAATGAAGAGATGTTAATCTCAAAGATCATTTTGACTAAAAAAACCCTCATTATTTTGGTCATTTTGTCCAAACTCAAGCAAAACGTGATAATTAAATGTGGTTACACATAATGACACGATTACTGTTTTTTTAATGTTCATAACTAAAAATAAAGCGTGAAATATAATCTTTACATCAAACAAAAAGGTTAAACTTGTTATTTCATTTTCAATTTAAATGGATTACCTCATGTGATACAGCTTATGAGGTTCATGAGAAAATAAGTGTGTTAAAGTGTGTTATTTTCCAGTTTGGCGTGTTAAAACCTAAAACACGAACTAATTATTAACTTGAATAAGTTGGCATGATTAAGGCCAACTCAATCAACCCTATTTACTTCGCGTCGCCTCACTCATGTCTAAATTCATTATTGTGAAATTCACTTACTTTGTCACTATAAGTTATGAATATTACTTTGTTCAATTTCATTTAATTTATATTCTCAATACAAATTCAAATTTTACTACACAACACAATACAACATCCTACCCAATTGCCCCTTATTTTGAAGGACAATGCAAACAAAAATGTAAATATAAAATGGGATTGATCCAATCTTTCTAGGACCCTATTTTGTATGTATCTTCCCAATTCCTCTTTTGTCATTTTCATTTCCCAAAAGCAGGCCTACGATTTTTATTCAAACATATACTTTACACATAGCCCAGTGGCCACTAGTAGTTATATTATGGGGAACTTTAACGAAAAGCACCCGGTACTGTTCATTTTAACGAAAAACCACATTTTTACACTAAAAAGTCAATCCTGGTACTATTTACTTTACCCTTTATTTTGTCCTTATCATTAAAACTCAAAGTTTTCAAGCCATTTTCATTAGTTTTCCTTATATTATGTTTATCCATTGAATGTAAGCTCTTGGTGCTGGTGTCACTATTAGCAGCTTTGTCTTTTTTCAGTAACATTTTGGGACCTCATCATTTCTAGTCCATTCCTTTTCCTTCTTTTGAAGGTTTCTCTCTGCGTTCATACTACCAAATAGTCAAAAAGATTAGTAGTGCTCCTCAAGAAATCAAACAAAATGCAACAAGTCCAATGTATCTTTGGATTTAATTGTGTGTATTTGAGAAAAACTTTTACAATCCCATGTTCTTTCTTATATTTGTACGACTATCTATACCATGTGTATTATCGTTTTCACTTCAAATTAGGCACGAGGCGGTTTTATTTTCCATCTCTTAGAAAAGTAGTCTCAATTATATATAATGAGATCAAACAACTAAAGCTTTTTCTATCGTCAAATTGTTCTATCACATTGTTGTGTCCAAACAAAATGTTAATTTTGATCTCTTTTCTGAAAAATTCAAAAAATTCGGAAAACCGATGTCTTTTTCTAAATCATAAACCCTAAACTCTTGAGGGGAAAAAAAAAGAACGGGAAATTGCGCACTAATTGAATGGACCCTTGGGCTTGATACTTTTTCTACAAGGTCAAAGAAGCCTTAACCCTTGAGGTGAAGTCCCTTGTTGCTTTGTATCCAGCCGATTCTATCATACATAAAGCAAGCCCAGGCCACTTGGGTATCCTGAGGCCTAATATTTATAAGCCCTTTACAGAAATGTGCACAAATTGACTGCTCAAATTATGGTTTGGTTTTGCAAATGCGAGTTATGACAGTTGACCAAGAAGCGTGCCTACCACTTTGTCGATTTGAGGTAACTCTTTGACAATTTTTTGAATGAAAATGCCGATTGGGTTCAATGCGAACCTAGTAAGACCCATCATGCCTTGCATGACCTACTTCACTCCACAATCAACTTTTGCAACTCAGTTC